CCTAAATTTACATCTTCTCTTCTCTTCTCTTCTCTTCTCTTGTCTTCTCTTCTCCACCCTCAGCCCCTCCCTCTCTCAGAGCTGAGGTCATAGCTGGCTGGCTGTGGCAGTGGGCTCGAGTAGGCTACAGACATAAGAGAGTCTGTTTTTCTCATCAGTCACTGGAGAAAAGTGCTGGTGTGAAGGGACAGGGGTCTATTAGCTCTGTTCGGGAAATTTTACTACTAATAAAACAGCTGATGCTACAGTACTACAGCCTTAAACCAACAACACTAATCAAGTTTTGGACAAAAAAGAGATAAGTTAGAGCAGTAAGACCCTAAGTACTTTAGATTCATTTTCTTGCTCATAAAATCTTCAGCAAGATATGCACTCGTGAGCTTGAAGCTCCATTTCTGTTTGGATGGTAAATTACTTCAGGATTTTATCTTTTGATACCACCATTGGAGGTGTGAACAGTCTGTGGAGTGAGACTGTCAGAAAAGTGGTTTTAGGTTCAGGACGGTAACCGGATCCCCTAAATAAAGTTTGTTGTGCCAGCACATTTTAAATATGTGAGCCCTTCCTTAAAGCAGACTACTTTACTTTTGTAAAATCGCTGCATTTGCAAACCCCTTGTTAGTATCCAAGACAGGGATTAAGTCCTGAAGAGAAAAATCCCCTGAAAAAAGGATCTGTGCAAACTCCGTCGTAGTGAAAGCTGCCCCAGAACAAAGAGTCTCCCACAGCACAGTGTATATGCAAGCCTGCTCCTTGTGGGTGGAGAATTTGTACATGCAATTAAGACCCCTTCAGAGGCACAGTTACTGTTGACTTTGACTGCTCATGAACAGTGACCTTTATGAATGTCTTTGGAACCAAGGATCAGAAAATGTGGCTTGGTAGTTAAGCTCTTAATGCTGGCAAGTCTAATGACGAAGTTGAGTGTGATGTTTCTATATGGCTAAACTAAAGAGATACAGTATGTGAATGGTCTGAATGACAAAGCTCACATAATGCAGTAGAGCCCTGGATTATATAAAATTATATTCTGAGCAAAGTCCTATTTTAAAATGTCTTGGCATGATAACATGATAGATATACAGTAAACACTTAACAGCATTATCCGCACAATAAGAAACATGAGAGCAATGTCAGCTTGGGTCCCCACACATGCAGGGCCAGGGTTCAGCTTGCTCAGTAGGGCACACAATATGGTTATTGTGCCCTCAGCACACTCACTCACTGATTGACTTTTGCAAGTCTTTTTGATTTTGAACAAACAGACTTGTTGTTTCAGTAACAAAAAAAAACAAAAAAAAAACTGATTCGTGGTGATGCTAATCAAGTTAGCTGGCCTGTTGTCAGCCTGTATGCCATGCTGGTGTTTTGCTGAACATTTTGTGTGTGGTATAACTTTGTCTCTTTTGACACACATCTACAAACACACGCAAACAGACAATTCACCTTTGGCCCATTGTAACAGCTCCCGTTGGCCTTACTCTCTTGCTACTCTGCTGTAGATGTTATTGACACATCCTCAGGAACACGACAGAGAGAAAGTTACACAGATACACTGTCAGACACAGACACATATATGACCTCACATACACACATTCATCTCTCTGCAGGCCACCTTGTAAAGACACTTATTCTTACACAAACATTTACCCCCAGTTGTGCTTCACAAACACACAAAAGGCATGGCATTTCGAATAGCATATGGGTATCAACAGCTTTCTTATTGAAATAATCATTCCTTTTAGCTTACTCGCTTTGGTCAATTATGAAGTCACAGTTTTTTGTCTGAGAGTTTCTGCAATGAAGCTAACATATGTAATTATATCCCTCTAATAACAAGCACAGTTGTTAGGTTGTTTAGCAGTGACCTGCAGTTTGACTGACTGAGGGGTGTGGTAGGGCAGGTTTTCACTTGTAAAATATCAAAAAACCCTGTAGCTGTTGAAACAGTACCAGCTGCATTTATTTCGGGAGCCATCTATCTAAGAGGCAGACACCGAATGAAGGATATGCTGCTGCTGAATGCCTTCCTGTTTCACATATGCAGTGTAAAGGCCTCTGTAAAGGTAATAAGGACAGGAACAAGGGCGACAGAAAAGACAGAAGGAAACAAATGGCTGTGTCACAGCTGAAGAGAATACATTTCTGTTGGTGCACTGTAGAAATATCTCACAGTGCAAGGAAACCTGTTATGGTTTAGACAAAGTATGTGCAGTAAAACATCTGCTTATGCATGTGTGCATGCTTGTGTGTGTCCCTTGTGCACACTGATAGACTGAACACATGGCGTACCCAGATACCCCCATGCTCATGGTTGGTTATGAAAGTTCTGAATGTGTCTTCACTTACAGGCTTATAGATATCAAACGAGTATCCTTTGGCTCCAAACAATCAACCTGTTTTTTTTTTCTTTCTAACACTGAACATTACAAATGTTTCTGTGCAGCCTTTATCACTCATATTTTTCAGTAGCTGACCTGTGTATGTGTCTGTACCTTCACAGGGCATTATTTGCATATGATGGATTCACCAACAAGCTCAAACTGGCCGACTCAGGAGGTAAGGTGGACTGTTATATGTTTGCCAGGAATAAAAATTCTTCTCACCTTCTCCACGTTGACTCTAAAGGATTTTGCATTCAGACAAAATAGTGTAAAAATCTCACAGTTTACTATTAAAGGAACGTGTAGAATTTTTGTTGTCAAAATCTCCATTTGTATAATTTTTTTCCTTTTCTCTTTCCAACTTCTCTGTCTTTTCTAACAGCGGGTGGTGTGGAAGAGCTGGCAGGAAAGTTTGACATCTCTAAGCCTCAATATGGACTGTGCAAAGTTGGGAGTGCAGAGACAAGCAGCCCCCAGATTGCTATGATCATCTGGGTGAGTGGCAAACAGGGGGATTATTACATGTAAACATGAGTCTATTGTGTTAAAAAAATAGCAGCTCCATCTTAAGGAGTCACAGAAAAATCTATGCACTTATAAACCTGCAAAATGCTCTGAGTAAAATAAGCTTATTCACAGTCTAGGGTTCTGGTTTGACCCAAGCTTACTTGGCATCTGATGTGGGAAAATGCTGTGTTATTATGTCACTGTAGTAAAAACTGAATATGAATCACAGGGCAAACAGAACGTGTAAATGTCTGATACATCTCAGACAGTTATGACTCAATAAAAATGATTTGTAATGCTACATCACTGTTGTATATTTACATATATGCAATCTATTTGCATATTAGGTATATACATATACAGAATAATTAAACGATGAAGTGAATGGTATAAATCCTCTTCCATGATGACGTAACATCTAAGTCTTTAAATTTCAGATTCCTTAGTCAGATCAATGAGACACACATTTGCCTCTGTGACATCATTGTGACTCCTGTTGTTCCTCAGTTAGTCTTCCTGCTGTTTTTTCAGTCTGCTCAGAGAGAGAGAGAGATGTTAAGAATGTGTCTACATCCTGTGTTTGTCCACAGGTCAGCCAAACTGTTGAGGACGTCCGACAGACAGAATGTGCCAGCCATATTCCATCCATCAAGAACTTCTTTAAGGTGCAGTAAATGAAGATGTGCCTGATCACTTACAGGTTTCACCAGATTTTATTCTACACAAAGAAGTTTTGTCTTGTTCCGTTTTCTTTATCCTTGGACTCCACATTTACACAAGGCAGTTGTGACAATACTTTGTATTGTCTTGAGAGTTTCCTGTCCTCAGTCCACTTCCTGTTCTATTGGTGTGCTGGTCCTGTGTATGATTGGCCTTTCTGCCATGTCACTACCAGGAGCAGATTGCTAAATTTGGGATTGAAAGCACCATTGTTTGTTGTGCAACCCAAAGTCACACCACATATCTAAGTAGTGATCGCAGAGACCGGAAGTAAACAGAACAGAGAATAGAGAACTGTATATTTTTATGGGTCAGGTACATGTGCATGTACAGGAACTTGGTGCATCACCATGATAACTTCCCTCTATCTGTGCCCCTCCACTTGTCCTTATTTAGCATGTCAGTCTAACTAGGAGATGTTCAGATGACCCCTAGACTTGATACACTATAAAAATGAAAGAGCTGAGACAACTTACAAAATAATGCAACCAGTTGCAGCACCTTTCAAGTTTAAGTGTACCAAAATCAGTACAAAGAGAGCATGCAAGGCTGCTCCAAGTGACCTTGTTTAATACTGCAGTAAGTGTGAGGACTTGGGACTGAATTCACTACTAACCTTCATCCCTAGAAACAACCATGATTTAATATACAGTATATTACAAACACTGAGAATGTTTTCACCATGAAATGCATCTTGAAAATACAAGTAGAACAGTTTCTGAAATGTTTTAACTCTCCAACAATGCATGCTGGGACGTATGCTAATTTTCTTTCTTTTAAAACTTTGTGAAACACCTTTCTGAGTGTTAAGACTTGGTTTTAGGGTCCAGGTTAGAATTAGGTTTAGATTATGCTTAGGGTTAGGGTTAGGTTTAGGTATTTAGTTTTGATGGTTAAAGTTAGGGTAAGGGGCTAGGGAATGAATTATGGCAAAGGATAGTGTCACAAAGATAGAAGCATAAGTGTGTGTGTGTGTGTGTTTAAGTGTAGCAGAAATGGTAGTCCTCACTCCCAATGTACATTTACCTGGACCTCACCTCATTGCCCATACAGGAATGTGTGTGTGTGTGTGTGTGTGTGTGTGTGTGAACACCCAGGGCTCTTTAACCATTTCCGTGAGGAATTTCAAAATTGTAGAGCAATGATCACACGGGTCAATCCTTAAATCTGTGAACTGTGGGAGATCTGTGACCTTAGCAAACACATATGCAGTACATGACCAGATTTGTGTTACAGTGCAAACAACCTGTTTTTGCTGCTATGACTGCTTACCTGCTTCTCTTTGAATACTACAAAAAAGGTAACCAGAACAATTTATAACCAAACTGTTGTTGTGACAGTAAGATTCACCTGTTAGAAATCATAAGTTTAATTTTCAATTACTCAGTGTTTCAAACTTAGTAAAATGATAAAGATACTATAGAACTCCGTCTCTTTTCACTGAGGTAAAGTTAGGAATGTGAAGCTTGTACTTTTATTTGTGTTTTTATAGAAAGTAACAGTTATGCCAACTTTTTCCACCATTGTAACACATCATAAACAAGTCGAAGAAATTGTATTAAACAATGTATTTAAGAAAGCTCTTTTAAGGTCACCATTCTTATCATCTTTTTATGGTCTTTATTTACATAGTCTCAGTGGAACTAGAAAGTGTTGGAGGATTTTAGGGCAAAATTAAAATAGTGGGGTCAGAGATAGTTGTCTATATTTCATAGAGTATGTCATCCTTGATATAACAAGGCAAGGTTATAATTTACTATTGCCCATATTTAGAAGAAAATAAACACATTCTGCAAGCCTAACAGTCTTCATTATCATAGAAATCCCTTCTTGACCTTGTAGTGACTGGGAAACAGAACTAAAGTGATAACCTCTCCTTTGGCACTTTATTTGTTAATGCTTGTTATATGCTTATTTCTTTCTACTTTTTTCTTTAACTTTGTTCTTTGTGGCTTGCTATTCTGCATGTCCCAGCTGGCAGTGGGGAAAGGGAGGGGGTGTCAAGGCGAGTCTGCAGCAGCAGATTTGGGTTGTGTCACATTCTGTACTCTAGTGTGGTGTTGGAGTTACTGTATGAAAACTAAAATATGATCAGGGTGCAGATGTTACCCTTGTTCTACATTTCCACTGAAATAATAGCAGAATAGAGCTGCAAATGTGGTATGTGCGTGTATGTAGTGGCAGTAGATGTTGAGACTGTGAAAGGACATGGTAAACAATGAGCAGAAATAAGAAAGGATTAAAAGTCAGGTGGAGCAGGAGATTTGAGTTGCAACAGTAGTTATGTTGAAATAATGTTTGGGTCTGAGCACTGCATCCTGAAGCACGTTAGAACACTCATATAACTCATCTCTACACACAGAACAGAACAGAGACTTTCCTGTCAGCCACCATAGCCCTATATCACACTTTGTCTTATTTGAGCAGAGAATTTGTTTACAAAAGTAAATGTCATCACTTACGAACATACTATGCTAATAATGTTACAAAATATTTAAAGGAACTTTATTAATCTATGTATTTTTCATGATCATGCAGCATTATTGTTATTATAGACAAGTAAAAGTTTCCAAAATGGTAAAAACCTAGTCTAACAAAATCAAAATTCTGGATTCCTCAAAGCAGACATTTATCGTAAGCTGTCCATTAGCCATCTCAGACAAACTTACACTGGGGACACTTGAACATTCCCACATCCGCCTACTGTTGCTCACAGTCTGAACAACTCCTGAGTAGGAGAGTTTGATTCTAGAGCAGAGAGACAGTTTATGTAGAATTGAGCTCAGTTTCAGCCAGAAAGTAACTCTCAGCCTGTCACATCACCTGGAGCTCCTTTTCGTCCCAGAGAGATTATATTCTTACACCCATAGTGAACTTTATTGCCAGGATTGTCAGTGCCATAAACCCTAAAAAGATCACCAGTTCACGTACAACATTTCACTTGGCCGTTATATTGAGATTTTACCATGAAAATATCTACAGGCAGATCATGGGTAGGGATGATTGTGATGCATTTGTTTACTACTGCCTCTCGTGCGATCATGAAATTTACAGTAAATCACACATTCCCCGGGATGAATAGGGTGAAAGAAAGAGGGACAAGGACACTTAGGGGAAGCTGAGAGAGTGAGAAGAGGGTAGGGGCTATATTTAACATCAAACACAATTTACATCTGTTTTGATATAAGGAAAGCCTAGGGCTCTCTAATGACTTGTAGCAGTGTTATAGTACAAAAGAGTTATGAAAAAGGTGTGAAAATAATTAGAGATGATTTGTGTGAAACATAGACAGAACCAGTTTTTTTTTTTGTTTGTTTGTTTGTTTTCTGAGTTTGAGTTTGTCAGTCTACTAGTCACCTGCATACAGCTATTGGAACAGTACATGTGTAATCATATCTATTTGTCCTGCTTTTATATGAGCTACCATTCAGTACTGTGGGCACATTTAATATGAGTGGTACTGTCACTATCCCTGACAATACGAGGATGCCGTGTTGGTGTCATTAATGGGCAAACACTGTGATTTTCTGCACTTGCACTCTGCAGAACTGAAGAGTGCACTATACTACAGAGAGCTTTTGCTATAGACTGGGGTTCTGTCTTTTTCCATGATTCTCCCAGCATTCGTGACAGCACTGTGCACTGCTTGTCTGGTCTGTGTGTGTGCACAGCTGCCAGTGACAGCTAGAGTGATAAGGATTATACACTGCAGTGACAAGTATTAAAGGGCACATAGAATATTCTGTTCAGTGTCAGTGTTGTCACTCAGATGAAGCTTTGGTTTCCTGTTGGATGCAGACAAACCTGGCCGTCCATCAACAAGCTTGGACTTACTCTCCATGGAAATTATTCTGGGGTCCTGGCCACAAATAACTGTCCCTCTACATACACAGACATGAGTTAAACTCGTGTTTATCACCTGGACCATATGTGTCCCATAGAAAAAGCTGCAGTGCAACACTGCTTTGATCTGTGATTGTCAATTTCCATCCATGCATTATTTATACCACTTATCCTGAATAGGGTGCGGGGGTGCTGGAGCCAATCCCAGGTGACATTGGACACACCTGGACAGGTTAACAGGCTATCATAGGACTAACATTAAGAGACAAACAACCAACACACCCACACTCACTCCTCCAGACAATTTAGAGACAACAGTGATTGCCAGTAGGATCTATCACACCTCTGAATGTTGACTTCCAACTATTAGGCAACTATTGCATGTTAAGTGAAGTCCTTTCTCTTTTAGTAACTTTTTTGCACACATACTCATGCTTTCACACCCTATTTTCTCACTTTTTACTGTCTCGCCCCCACCTTCTCATATTCCCCATCTCCCTCTCTGCTATACAACTGTCCAAACCACTGTATTCCTGCCTTCATCTAAAGCCTGGCCGTGTTTTTGTTCTCTCACAATCTTTATGCCGTTGCACAACTGTTGGGCTCCACATTTACATAGCTCCAAGTCAGACCAAGGGAAAACCACAAGACAGATTGTGTATGCCTGTGGATTTCTGGCCTTTGTGTGCATACGTGTGTGTGTGTGTGTGTGTGGCTGTAGAACAGTGTGTATAAGGGTAGGTCACATCTGTCTTACTCTACTTCTCATCTCCTTATTTTCATTATCTGCCCTCCATGTTTCAGGAAGCACATGTGTTCATTAGAGCAGCGAAGATGGAGGATGTGACAGAGGAGAGGCTAAGAGCTGAGTTCAATAAGGCCAATGCCCAAGCTCCTATACAGTGGGCGAGGAGGAGCTCCAGGTCTGCTGACAATGAGGACATAGTGGTGAGGCTCCTGCAATACCTCATGTGTCCATAAGATGGAAGCAGAGAATTTCATATACACATTGTGGCACTGTTTCAAGTAGAAACTCTGTTTTACAGGCTACCTCTTCAATAACTTTTTTTGTTTTACTTTTGCCTCCACCATGTTTTTTACATATAGTTCTTGAAAATTTTATAATATAATACAATGGCATAAAAATGCTGTGCAATCAGTGTATTGATTATCAATTCATTGCTTTGTATTCAGTATTTCTTCTTTTATAGGGTACAAACTACAGAAAAACCAATGCTGCAATGGAAATCAGACGAATAAACAGGGACTCGTTCTGGGCACGTGCAGAGGTATGCCTTTGGCCACATCTGATTAGCTAAAATCTCCATTAGCCACATGATTAGAGCCTTTTACATTTGGAAAGCTACTAAAGAGAGCAATTTTTTGATTTGTCTCACATTGTGACTCTTTGTGTCAGCGTGAAGAGGAAGAGAGGAAAGAAGACGAGAGGAGACGAGCAGCAGAGGAGAGACGGCAGCTTGAAAAAGAACGAATTCTGAAGGAACGAAGGGAAGCAGAAGAGAGAGACAGAAAGATGAATGAAAAGCTACAGATTATTGAGGAGCAGAGGTCGGGACGGTGTCTGTTTCCTGTCAATAGTGCACTCTTGTGGTTTTATTGTTTTTAGCTTAGAAGAACAAAGTACTGTACCTTCATACATACAACAAGTACACTGTATTTTGGACAGTGATTTTTAGAAAAAACAATGGTTGTATTGTTTTTTTCTGTCTTGCAGAAGAAAGCAGGCCGAGGAGGAGGAAGACATGCGCAGAAAGGAGAAATTAAGATGGGTGAGTGAGAAGGTGTAGATCTTGCTAGAATTCACACGTGAAAATTTTCACATATAAAATGATGTAAAGCCTCTTTGATAAAAGGTGGACATGGCATGTTGTCATGGACTTTGCCTAGTGGCAAAATGGACACCTGTGCTGCTGCAGGTTGGTCATACTGATGCCTTGAATTCATTTATCTCTGTAAGAACTGGGCTGACCTTGGGGTGTTTGAGAGCTAATTCTAAATCTATAATAGCTGACCCTTTGATTCATGTGAGGGCCACAGCTGTCTGTCACAACATCTGCTTCTGCTGCTTATACAGAGACTAATGTATTTACTGCTACATGAACAAAGACAACAGTGGACTGATTTAAATTAGCAGGAAAAACCAACAGCTAATAATTTAGTTTATAAGGGGCTGCACAAATCATACCTTTTTTTTGTAATTAAATCTTTATTCAATTTCAAGACATAACATAGGAACACAAAGAACATGAACTAAATAGAACCCCACTCCCACCCCACCCTGTATGTGGAAACAACAACAACAATAACAAAGGATAGAAAAAAGCAGAAAAACTAAAGCTCAGTCAGGAGGGGCCATGGGACAGCAGTGACAAGTCTTTTACTGAGCTTATAGTGTCCCTCCAGAACTCAAATGTCTTAGGAGAGGATGCATTTATCCTACCAGTGAAAGTTCTTGTTATAGAATCTCCTGTAAGATGTTATGTCATGACCGTGCTGTCAAACTGTGTGGAAGAATCCAGGATTGAGCAACAAGGTTTTTGGCTGCTCACAGTCTGGCTAGCCATACTTTAAGCCAACTTTATCATTTTACACCTAAAGTCAAACAAATGAACCTGTGGCTTTATCCTCATACGCGGTGAAAAGCCACTAAAACAGCAGTACATGACTACTTGACATTTTAACATAAATATATACAGATGCTGAGTGTAGAAACACTCCTGAGATGTGGCCTACCTATGTTCAAACTGTGTAACACCAAAGATGATGTGTTCTCAAATTTTACCTAGTATAACAGATGCTATTGTAAATGAGACTTAGGAAAAGTCTCTGTTGAGAGTTTACAGCGGTTTTACTTGTGAGCAGTGAGGGGTTTTCAGATGTAAGAGATACCTACTGTAAATGAAAAGCTAAAATGTACTGTACAAGGTATTGTTTTGCCTCAGCAGTTACTGCTCTGTATTCTCTGTGGGCAATGATTTCTTTGTTGTTAATTAGGGCTTAATGTCAAGTGTGATGTCATCTGAAATGATTTATTTTAAATAAAGACATGAAATGCATTAAAATACGTGTGTGAATATGATTGTTGTTATGCTTCTGCACTGACAGGAGCAGCAGCAGAAGGAGCATGAGGAAGATATGAGAGCTCGTCTAAGAAGGCGTGAGTCCATAGAGAAAGCAGCAGTAAGTGAATCATAGACTACTGCAACATAAAACTATTAGGTTCTTGCATATATCCACTTAATGTACATTAACTGACCTGTAGGAGGCAGCAGCATTAGTGTCCCAGCGATCCATTAACCCTAGGGAGTTCTTCAGGCAGCTGTCATCATCATCATCATCGCAAAGTCCAACTAGCCCTGGATCCTCCCGCACTGGTATGTGCACTGTGTGCATGCTCAAAGAGAAACTAATGCTACCATTTAAAACTCCAGATGAGCTAATTAAACCTCAAGGACCTCAGCTCTGGATTGTAGTGCATGCTGTTGGACGTTTCTATATATACCGTGTGTATTCTTTCAGTTTCTGCACTACTCACTAACGTTTTTTTTTTCTTATCAGGTAAACTGTTCAGACGATACCAGCGCAGTCTGACAGACACAGCGTTTATCTTCTCTAAGGCAGAAGAGAGTGCAGCATCCTCCCCCCGCAGTTCTCCCCTTGTCTCCCCTTTTTCCCGGGCACCTCCCTCCCCCATCTACCATGCCACTTCTCCCCCCAGGAGCGCTGATTTCCGCCCTGTCACCTCTCCACAAAGGCCCAGAGCCCCAGTGTCACCACCCAGATCCCCTCCTCGTTCTGCCCCTCTAGTTTCAGCCCTGCCCATCCTTCCGCAAACTAACAACCAAATTGATTCTGTTGTTGAGCCTAAAACTCCATCACCTACAGAACCTTCTGCACCCCCGGCTTCCCCTACTCTTTTGGTATCTTTGTCTCCCAGTACAGTAAAAAGCAGCACCTCTCAGTCACATCCAGAGGCCCTGCCTTCCTCACCCCCAAATACCCCAACCCAGCCAGGGCATGCGACTTTCTCCTTTGAGCCTGGTTTTCCTTCGCATGCTCCAACAGCACCTCTTCCTGAGAGACTTCAGCCGAACACAGGTAGAGTGGAACAGCACACAAATCATTATATTAACATCTGAACTAACCTGCAGAGAAGGTCTCATTATATGACTCTTGCTTAGAGCTCATGTGCTTGTCATTAAATGCTGGTTGTTAATTTTCATTACAGACTAAGGTGACATACACTGTAGGTGATTTGCTAAAACTGCTCTATATACTCCAGACTCTCTGCAGCAGACTAGGGATACAAATCACTGGCTTCTTAGACACAAACAACAGTGCTCAGAATTAAATTTTATATTTTAATTTTGTCCTGTCACAATTTAATATTTCCTAAATAACTACATATACTCTTATTCATGGCAGTCTTAACTGAATTGTGCACTACAAGACTATGGTTTTTGGATTAATTATAGTTCAGTTTTTCAAACCAAGACATACACAGCCTTTATGAACACATTGACAGAGTGTAAGGAATATGAAATGTGCAATTTATTGTGTTTTTAATTATAATTTTCCAAATTACAGACCTCAATACAGCCACTCATGTACACACTGGGCTGGTCTCAGACACTGTCTACAAAGCTCAGGCTGTACTGATGGAGGAGGATGAGGAAGAAGATGTGGAAGAACTCGAGGAAGATAAGTCTGAAACACAACCCCAGCCTTGTGCTGTTCTTACAGAACCACACCAGACTGAGGCAGAAGAGCAGGAGCAAGAGGAGGTGGAGGAGGAGGTGGAGGAGGAGGAGGAGAAGGAGGAGGAGAAGGAGGAGGAGAAGGAGGAGGAGGAGGAAGACGAGGAGGAGGAGGAGGAGAAAGAGGAAGAGGAGCAGGACAAGGAGGAGAAGGAGGAAGAGAAAGAGGAGGAGGAGGAGGACAAGGAGGAGGCTGAGGTGGGATTAAAGCATAAAGCTGAGCATGCATCACTGGAGGAGCCATTGGAGGTGGTGGAGTGGGAAGAGGAAGCAAAGGAAGATGGAGAGGACATCGACCAATCAGAAGACAGCCAGGGACCTGCAGAGCCTGATGAACTTTCAGAGCAGGAAGAAGAGTCAGCAGTCACAGGTAGCCCTCTTGTTCTTGTATCATGTTTATTTATTTTTAAATGCTGTAGTGTAGCTTTCAAAATGTGAAATGCTTTTTTTGTATAACAGTACACAACGACAAAAGGTTTCAACAAAATCATTATTTCAGATGCTGAAGCAGTTTGTCAAGAAATCAAACAGGAGGCTGTTGTCCTATCAGCCAATAGGATCACAAACGGAGGGGACAGACAGGAACAGAATGGCATAGGTTTGGCAACAAATCAAACAATACAGTGCAATGTAGAATTATTCTGTGATAATGCGTTTATATACCCAGTCATTGTGCTGGTTGGACTGTGATTAATACTTTTCACTCTGGTTTTCCTCAGAACGATCTCTGAGTCCATCTGACACAGAACTCAGCTCACCGGAGCCGGCCGTGTGCTATAATGTTCATGTCATGGCAGAGGAGGATGATGTTGTTGAGGATAAGTATCAGGAGATCTCAGAAAATGGACAAGAGGTACTGTGTGTATCTACAAATACATATTGTATGTGTACACTGCCTTGTACAAATCTTGTTATTCCAAAAACTTATATCAGTTGTTTTTTTTTTTGTTTTTTTTTTTTAATCTGTTCCGTTCTTTCCTCCTCAAATATCCTCTACACAATTAGGAGGCAAAATATCTTTTATTAATATAATCACATTCAAAATAATTACATTTATGTTAAACACTGTAATAAAAATTATACCAGCGAGAAATTACAGACTTTGTATTTTTGATTTAGTCAGACTGGTGAAGAATATTTAAAAGTCCAGGGATATGTACATGTGTGTGTATACAATATAAATGTGTATATGTATTGGTTCAGCCCCAACCTCGATGGTTCCTAATGATGATTTTAATCTTTCAAAAACATCACAAATACATAGTTTCTTTTTTAACCTACCTATCCCCATAATGGCATTATATCTAAAAGCAATATTTCTATGATGGTTTGACCATTATAATATGATTCATTGACCACGAGAACCTACCCCTAATATTTGGAATCACAATGATATCATTATTAGTTTGAAAGATATTAAATAAAAAGAATATTTCATCAATGGCAATTTTCTTCAAGATCCAACTCAGTAACTTTTGAACAAATGTCCAATCTGTGGACACCCTACTGAATCAGCAGTTTCAGCTAGAATTTGATGTTAGATGTAAGTCTGTAGCTTTTTTTGTTGTCTCACAGTTACAAGTTTTCCGTGAGCCCTATAAATCGAAACATTAAGGGTCAGTAAATCCAGATCAGAGACTTTAGTGTGTTAGTGTGTGGTGGATCTTATGTGCATGTTATCATGCAATGTTTGTTGAAGCACTGTAGGCATTGTGCGTTAGGAGCAAAAATATTGAAATATCTCACAGTGGTGAATATTCCTGGATCTGGATGATGGTCCAGATCAGCACCAAAATCTAATGCAGTGTTCCGTGGGCTATGCCCTACCTACCATCAAAATCCATTCGTTACTATTTGAGTTATATTGTGAACAAAGCAACCAACAAACAATCACGGGTAAAAATAGAACCTCCGCCTTGGCAGAGGTAAAAAGACTCAGCAATTTATTATATATAGTGACTACTGTAATTTTACTCATCCAGCAGTGTGTAATATATTTGTTGGGGACTATTTTGAGCTGTGAATTAATACATATCCAGTCTACTAGCTACTAATTATAGTAACAGAAAAGTGTATACATTTATGGCACAGAATAAAAAAAACCTTTCAGGCTTTGAAACAGGGTGCACTTGTTAATATTATCATTTCATTGATAGGTTTGGTCTTTTCATGGATTGTGCTAACAGTAAAAAAATGCAGAATACTGACATACTTTAATTTTAGTTAATTTTAAAAGATAAGTTCATATGATGAAAGTTTCAATGAAAGTGATTTAGTTTTCCTTTATTCTGCCTTGTGCCTTCCACTTAAGCAACACGTGTGTTTCATGATTACAGGCTTTCTCTGACTCCATTTTCCTCTCCACTTCAGGTGTTAGCCAAGCGACAAATGTGTGTCCGAGCTTTGTATGACTACCAAGCAGGTACGTTGCCATTTAGAGGATAATCGGCACACATGTGCACATAAAATGCCACCACTTATGGTAATTACACTGTGATTAGCGGGTCTTCACCATGTTATCTTGCGGTTCCCACAGAAGATGAATCGGAGATCTCCTTTGAACCTGGTGACATCATCACCAATGTGGAAACTATGGACAAAGCCTGGTGGAGGGGGTGGAGCAAAAATGGCCGCCAAGGCTTGTTCCCTGCCAATTATGTGGAGACCATATAGATCTGTAGATTGAGATGCACTAACACACACACAGACACACACAGTACATGTACACACACACTCAGGGACACCATCTCCCCTCACGTTTATGCGTGTTTTTACCTTTATCCTCCTACTGAAACTTTGTACTCTGTTTTGTAGAAAGGATAAAGAAAAAAAATGCTACTCTTTATTTTGATAGTTTTTGAGAAAAACAAAATGTTTTCACAAGAATAGAGAAATTACCCAGCCTCATTTTTTTGGATAAAATAGAAAAGACCCTTTCCTCGACCAAAATAACTTATTTACTCAGTACAATACAATAGGAATGTTGGTGGGCGAGATCACATCACAATGACAAATGATCACAAACTTTCTTTTCTTGTAAGAAACACAAACAGGTTTTTATAGCATATAGTCTTCTTCTTGATCCACACATATACTAAGCACACCATTTTGCATACTCTTTGCTTGCTTTGTTTGTGCATTGTTAAAAAAAATAATTTACTGGTCTTGACTGGTATATATAATCAAGATACATGTATCCGACATCATCTTGTAATCATCTTCCTGTATTTTTTTTAGAGTTCTTTTGTTGCACTGCATTTTTTACCTACAGTTTCACATGACAGTTTAATTACACAAATGAGAAGAGCAGCATAACAATATACAAGCAAGCAAAGGATAAAGGCACTGTACTGAGAACCGCAGTCTTTAACCTCTAGAGTCCCTGCGTCCTCATATGAGGACCGCACAGCTTGGGTTTCCAAAGCTCAGGACTCTAGAGGTTAAGATGGGCCACTTTTAGTGCACGTGCTAATGTCCTCCCATATAGTTTGTGATATTTTGTCTTCTTAACCTTTCCTTGATTTTAAGAAATTACAGTAAACCAAGGTGTTGACACACAAATAAGTTTTTTTAAGTTCTAAGCTTACACAATACTGTATATATGATTGTATAAAAACAAAAAGATCTCTTTTCCTGTACTTGGCTTGTATGTTTATACTGTGTGTTTTATGCTTGTTTGATGGTATGTATGTTTTTTTGTATTTACTCAGAACCTACAAATATTTACTGCAACGTCTACAGTCTGCTTAAAAAGATGCTTTCAAATGTTTGTCTCCTACTTTATTCTTCTCATTTAGTTTTCAACAAGCACATAATATGATGGATATTATCATTAGTGTCTGTAGGGTTTTGAAATATTACCTCACAATGCATTTTGTCATAGCTGCTGTCTTTTTCTTGTTTCAAATCTCAGGAATTATTTTTTTCTTGTAAGGGCAGCATGGCATTTTGAAATAACACACTACTACAGTGATCGTACAGGAATTCTCCACTTGCCCTGTGTTGTACAAAATAAACAATGAATCAGTCAGGCACATTTTTAAAGTTAAAAGTGAAAAAAATATTATAATATTCCTAGCATGTAGTTTTACTATAGCGACACAAAGGTTTATTCATCAGTATAACTGAAACAGTGAATCAAAAGTTAAAATTTTACTGAGTATGCATTGTTAGTATCACTTAATGTTCATGTGTAAAAGTCACTTTAATAATACAGTGTTCTTATTAGTCCTAACGTATGCACTGGTTTAAATGCACTGAACTGAACAAAAGTTGTATGAATTGTAGTGCTAAAGTTGCACCTATAGGAGGAGACATTGCCTTTTCCAATTTCTCACAACATTACTGCGAGAGAACACTTTGAAATGAACAGATTCCTCAGGAAAAAAGCAAAACATTTTGACAGGCAGAGAAAAAGCTCATTGTTGCACACATTTCAGGAGTGGGATATTCAGACATTTCCAAAGCTAAAAATTGCTAATGCTGCTACACCTTAAACAGGATTTTCCCCCGGGCTACTACTGTTCGATTTAATATGACATTAGTATCACTTATCCATGCACCTTTAATAATTATTTATTTTTGTGTGCGTGGAGAGGTGGTTAAGGTTACGCTCTTGCAGTGCCAGCTCAGTAACAGCGTTTGGCAGATGCGCCTCTGTTCTGAAATAGAGAGGTAATGTTTGACATGGGTCTCATCCTACATGAACTGATGCCTGTTGACAGACTGACTAAATCTATCCAGGAGACTATTCTACTGAGGTTATCCCAGAAGGTTAATCATCAGTGATATGTGTGAAAAGGTGATGAGCCTCTTATGAAGCACTAATTGGGTTACAAGGAGAAGGCTGTGAAAACCTCAAATGAGCAAAATTGAGAGTTAGAAAAACAGTTAATCTAAGTAGCATTAAAAGTAACTTTAATATTAATATGAGAACCCTAATGTATATACTTTTACATTTGGGATTGTGAGAAAGGTGAACAGCCACAGAGCAAGAGTGAGAGAGAGGACATCTGTGCAGAGACAATGTGAAGGCAAATTGTTCTCGACAGTTGCGTCCCCTGTTCCTCGTTATTCCATATCCCTGTTCCCGTGGTCATTCCTACAACTCAAGAGATCCCTTGTCTCTTCAGATTAAACAGAGTGATAGGGAGACACCAGCTAATGTGCCAGTCAACTTTCCCTTCCTCTTCCCTTTTGTCTTTAGGCTGTTCCTTCCTTGTGTGACCCTCATCAGTAACAAAAAACTCATTGGCTAGGGTGCTACACTCACAGCCTAGACCCCCGACTTTCCCTCTATCTCTTATTTATCTGACAGACCCTATCTGACCGGTGGAGGACTGACAAGTGTGGGATGGCCGAGGTGAAGTGGCGGTAGGGAAGTGCCACTCATTGTAGTGTTATCAGCACGAAGGCAAATGACTGAAACCTAATCTGACCTGGCTGCTCATGGCTTGTGGGCTGCTGGCTGGGTTTCTGCTCTGTGCAGATCCTGGCACCCCCTGAGAAGGGAGTATAAGCATAGAAACACACATATGCATGCACATGGAAGCACAAACACATACAATACATGCATGCAGCTGCAGACGCTCACTATTCTTAGTCCCCCATGTCTGTAGCAACCTCCTTCTCCTTGCCGCTCCTCAACTCCTGCCTGTCATCGTCTAACTAGTTGGTTGCAACTTTGTGTGATTAATGATGTGTTTCAAAAAGATAAGAAAAATCTTATCACAGCAATCTTATAACTCTGTTCAGCCTTCCTGCTTCTACTGTACTGTAGCTACAAGGGATTTGTCTTTTGCTTTTTAGCTTATAGTTCTGCAAAGGAAACATGAAGGACAGGGTCACCATGTCTCTCCTGAAGGCTCCAGGGTTTTTACCAGTTTTGTGCCAGAGTACTACCTGGTTGGATCTTCCCTGCTCCAAAGTATTATAAAACGTACACAATACCCACAGTGCTCTGCTTTCATAAAGTTCTGGCAAAGCTCAGTGTTATTCTTAAAATACTTAAGATGCTCTGATTTTTTTCTCTTCCCCTGCTGAAATGAAGTCTTTGTAAGCACCTGAGTACTCACTGAGATGATAGGTCTCATTTTCTTTTTTGGCTCTTTGTTCTGCAGGGGCAAGAGATACCATATAGGCAACATTTCAACCATTGGATCAAACATTACCCACAGGCAGTAGAAAATCTATCGCTAGCCTTGATGGTGCATCAAAATGTGAATCCACAACCGATGTGTTGAGATGATCTCAAGGCTACAACAGTTGTCTGGGAATGATTTCTCTGAATTATTGTTTCCTCAAGATAAGTCAGCTTTAGCTTGGTGATAATTCCATCTGGTACAAGTCTTGATTAAACCTTTGCTTTTAGACATCTCTCTTGTTCTTGACATTATCATTTTCTGTTTTCCCTTTAAAGATAATCTTCAAAACCACTGAAGTAGATAACGCCTCGGAAGCTCCTGATGACTCGAGCCAAGATTTTACTGTCAGCATAGAAACCGGCCCATTAACTTTTGAAGCCCTCTTTGGCAAAGCTCCCTTTCCCCTCCATTGCCATGAAAAAGCTCTTTCTCTTGGCCAGTCCCACACAGCCCTAACAATGAGCAGAGGATTAGAACATCTCTCTGTTTTGAAGCAAAAAAAAAAAAAAGTAAAAATGGATTTAAGAAATTGTTTTACTAGTAACTGGTGAAGACCAGTTGGCAGCATTTCCACTCTGGGATTTTTCCTGACATGATTCCAAGGACACGGTTTTTACTTTTATGATATGATTCTTGTGCTTGCAATCAGCCAACATGTGGCATTGTGATCCAATCACAGACTCCCCCCCCCATCAGTTCATAAATGGTTAAGGCTCAGTCTATTGTGAAGGAATCTTCAAAGTGGCTGGAAACCACAGGGGAACATTGGTAGCTGTTAATTAATGCAACAGACAAATACTTTATTTTCCTGATTCTAGAGATGAAAAAAAAATCATGCTTTGAATCTAGCAACAGGCACATCCATTTCTCTTACTTCATCGTCAAGCTGTTATCATGGACAATAAAGTGCTGTTGTTTCTCTGAAAACCGTAAGTGATTTTTTGTTGTCTGCCGTGGTTGCAGTAGACATATATCTCTCTCTAGTTTTTCTTTTAATGCTTGTTCATACCAATCATTTACACTATATTTCCATTCAGTAAAATGATGTCAAATGCATTTTGCTAAAATGACCTTTATTTGTCTTTTTTTTTCTATCATTGAATTTGAAAGAAATGGGAAACATGACATGATTGTGGTAACAGATGAAAGGCAAATAAAGCAAAATTGTCCAAGATAAATGATAAATTATAGGGCTTAATTTTATTCCAGTAAATTACTTTGAATGTTCTGGATATTTTTAAATAAACAGTACCAGCAAACATGACATGAATCACTGTAAAGTAAATCATGACCTAAAATAGAAAAATACATTGTTTTCAGAAGTTGCCAGTCAATATGTAAATGTTGGTAAGGTCTTGGTGGTCAGTACTGGGGTGAGCTGTCTCTTACTCTAAAGGCTATCAGGGGTGAAAGACCCTGTTCCCTTGGTGACACACACATGCATAACCACTCCAGATTTCACACACACTGCCAGTGGCACCACAATCTCTGCCAGATGCTGTGACTTTCCCTCAGACAATTCATTTCACAACTATCTTTGAAGGAACGATGCCAATGGTGCCTTTTGAGGGAGACAAATGTACTTAAGTGTGTGAGCTAGTGAGTGATGGGGATATGCCAGCGGCAGTGTGTGAAAAGGACACATGTGAAATCAGATAGAGTTGAGTTTAATTCACAGCCTGGCCTGAGGACATCAAGCAGGATAATGTGAGACATCTTTTCTCACACCATTTAGGCTAAGCCTATGGGGACACATTGTTTATTTCTTAGCTGAACTACATAATTTCAGTCTAAAAGTGTGGGTTTAAAACAGAAAAAACATGGCATAATTTTATGTAGCTAAACAAAAAGGAAGAGTTTTTGTTTTAATGCAAATTAAACTATACTAACATAACCAATTCCGTTTTCACCCTGCAATAAGACATGTACAACAACTTAGTGTTTGCAATTCCAATGACTGGGATGTTAACAGTGCAAATTTATAGTGGATGAGACACCCAGAGTCAGCCCTTGACAGCCCAGGCATGGTGCCCGCCCCAGAGGAGGGGGATGATGGAGAGCAAGCAGCTAATAATTAATACCATGATTACACAGGCTGCAACAACACAGGGAGACAAACTTTCACATAACCAGGCAGGGACCTGACCAAGACTGATAGCACAGGGACAGGCAAATACACACAGAGAGGCACAAATATAGAGACATGGGCATGCATGCGCTG